TTTGGAGTGATATATGTGGATATATTACCTGTCAAGATTTTATATCACCCGAGCCGTTAGGCGAGGGTGATATTTTATCTTGGCAGGTAATATATCCACATATATCACTCCAAAACCAAAATAATAATTGTATTACCCTTCCCGTGCCGAGTTAAGACGATTTTAAAATAAATCATTGCTAATTCAAATGAAACGTCGAAATAAGATTCCCTTTAGGATACCCCTTCACCATAACATGACGTCACATAAATACATGACGTATTATCTTTCGAACATAACGGATGTAAACAAGAGAAAAGGAGTAGTCTGTTGAACGCACTTTTTTGAAATTAATATCAAGCTTTCACAAGGTCATATTTGTTTTCTATACTGACGAGAATATGTATCATTACTCTATTTTGGTAAATATTTATCATTTGACAGTTTAAAAGTGCTTGTAAATCGGAATTTATATCGCGTAAAATCAAACCGTACGCGCATCGCACGGCGCATGTTGTTTACAACGTGGGGTACCCATCGGGGAAATTTAATGTGTATATTACCCGTCTGGCTCGGTAATATCAATTTCTTTCGGGTGATCAATATCCAATCAAAAAGGCGGAAAAAATCTGGAAGGGTAATAAAATATTATATTATTCAGCGAGTGCAATAAATTCAGTAATGAACTTACACGAATTTAATATTCTATTTATCACATACCCAAAATAAAGACCATTTAAAGTTAAATAAGAGTCATTTTTCATTGACGCGCTTATAGTATAACGCTAACATTTAGCGCGTCTTTACACTATGTTTGTATAACGCTAATGACGTCACGTCAAAATATATGCACGGCCGTGCAATACCATATTTACGGAGTCGCAAAATCGGCACGGGTGTGTGATAAATGATTATATGTTAATTTCGTGAAAATCATGCTTACCATCATTCTCAAATATTAGAAGAGTTGTTAACCCTTAAAGTGCTGGCAGAAGAATGATATACCAATACGACCGGTGCAGACCATGATCCCTGTCGTCTGATCGTGGTCTGCACTGTTCGCAATGCAGTCAGTTCACATTTTTAAATTTTCCATACACAAAAAATAAATGGTTTTGCCCAAGTTGTAAGATCAGGGACTCTCAAATAGAAGACCATAGTAAAATGGGCAAGCCAATTTACGCAAATTTTATTTTGCGTAGTATAGGTTAAAAAAAGTTCTTCTTGAGATCGGATTTGAACCCGACCAGGAAAGGAGATAAGACTAAAATTCATTGTCCTAGGCAGGTTTAAGGCTCGTACTTACGCTATGATAAAAACAGTTCCGCCACTCAGTCCTGAACTGATTTCATTTGATGGATTCACCTTCGGAGCCTTGGCACACGCCTTCTCGCTGGTCAGCGTCAATTTCTACAGAAAAAAAAGGAAAATGCAAGAGGAACAATGTTCAAGAATAATTAATTAGCTCATCATTAAATTATATCCACCTTTGTTTTAAATACAGATATAAAAGTATTTGGACCTATAAACCTTAAAGCTGCATGTATGCCTCCAGATAAGCCAAAATATTTCAATATAATCAAAATTTGAAAAACTGTACTTATATTTTAAGAAAAATTAAAATAATTCAAGATTCAAGTAAAAAAAAAAATACATGTGATGTGCAATTAATGACTGATTATGCGTGTCTAACGCAGCATGGGCTATGTTTGCATATATTGACCTCTTTTTGGTAATTAGCGTAGGTTTTAAACAGATTTAATCATATTTGCAAGGATTTGAATGTAACCATACTTAACGACGTGTGACTATAACCAGATCTACAGGGATTTGACTGTAACCAGAGCATTGTACCAGATTAACGGGGTTTGACAATTTGAATACACAAGACTTATACTTGTAACGAAATACTTACATATGTTATGGTATCATTATTTTGTTCCTGTTCCCCATCAGCCACAATATAATCAAGGACGGATCCTATTACGCATTTTAATGTTATCTCTGTGATTCTGGTGAATAAACAAGCAATAATGTGTTATAATAATGCACAGTTGTAACGTCAGTTTTCATTGGACAATAGTAGCGTTTATATAATTTATATACAAGGTTGTTGCAAATGTGTGCTGAAAAGTCAGCCCGACAGCTCAATCGGTTAGAACGCGAGACTTGAAATCTCGACACTGTGGGTTCGATTTCCCGGGTGGCCAACCACCTGATGTCGTAAGGGGAAGTAATTAGATTTGTTTAGAACTACATGTATATATTATCGTCATGGGAGATAATTTTATCATTTTCTGACTGGTGTTATCAGATTAGGTAAAAAGGGTCACTAGGACAGGTAACTAGAGAAATTCTTAGAATAGGGGACATAACTTGGATCATTTTGGGACATTTGTCGCCAGGAGAGGAAACCAGAGTCATTTTGGAGCTAATGTACAGGGGAGGTAACTAAAGTCATTTTAGGACCAATCGCAACTTTCGGCCCTTTCCGTCAGTCTTCGGATAAGGAAATCGAACACAATAGTATGAATACACAGAACAGATACGATATTTCGGTGTAAACTAGACATATAAACAAATAATAATTTAATGCAATATATCAAATGCCCACCTAAAATAAGTAAATTCATAGATACTAAAGCAAACAATACGTTATTTGTATATTTATTTTTATGGTTGTAGAACCCGAAAGTACATAAAACCAACCTGTTGACATTTAGTCGGATTTGTTTAAAATTGTATATCAGTGGGCATATTTAAATTGAAAATGATTGTCAGGCATATTTCCAATCATAATTGTACCGAAACGAACTTAATTTTCTTTTGGATGTCAATTATATGTACATTCGTTTAACATTCTCTCTTTTACGTTTACATCTGAAACCGCGTGGTAGAACTACTTTCACTCCGTATTGTTTCCGAGGTTATTATAATAGATAACAGCCAAAAACGTTCCGATTGATTTAGGACAAGTGTCGTCAAGGGAGGAAACTATGGTATTGTGGTCAGGGTGGTGATGTCATTTAATCTAAGCTAAGTTAGGCTAATGAAAGTAAAAAAGTACTTTAAAGCAATACCTTTTAAATTCTCCTTTGTCAGCTGTGTACGTAAGTTTTAAGGCACCGGTTGGATCAACGTTAAAAGCGGCGCTATCCTGGCTGCCCAAATCATAGTACAACGTATACGGGAGTCCATCTCTTACCATACAGACCTGGGATAGAAAGAAGAATAAATATAACTACATTCCTTTGAAACAGCATTTATAAGGGAAAAATAACTGACACTGATCAGTATGACAGAACGAAATTTGATGGTTGCAGAATATTGTGTTGTTTTACTTAAAGCAGCATGCAAAATTCATGCTAATTTTCTTGAACATTTTAGAAATTCAATTTAGAAATTTAGAAATTTTCTAAAATACTGTAAAGTGAACAAAGAAAATTATTTAGACAGTGCAAACAGCACTTGCAATCCAGTAAATTACCAAAAAGAAGAGGTCAAAATAAGCAAAAGTAGCCCTTACTGCGTTGATAACGCAGTAGGATATGATGATAAATACAGCAAAATCAGTCCTTGATTGCGAATAAAATGTAAGTTATTACTCGATTCTTAAATCTTTTTACTTTTATTAAAATCTTGGTACATTTTTTTATCTGAAGTTTGATTTTCTTGAAATATTTTAGCTGATCTTGAGTCATGCGGCTTTAATATATATAAGAAAATATATCCTGATTTACCGCAACATTTATGCATTCAGAATTGTTTGCTGTGTAGGAGAATTGCGAGCACGGGTTCCACGAGTACAAATCATTGGTCGAGTCTTTGACATTTGAAAACCTATAATAAAAAGGAGAATAGAGAAGGTTAATCGAACATACTAACTTATAACATCGTTTCCAGATCTAAATGAGTGATAAGAATCATTTAAAAAAAATATTTTAAGTAGGATTCATTTAAAGGGTAGAAAGCTACATTGTGCCGTCAGTAATCACTTTAGGTTGCTAATTTAATAATAAAAAAACATGTGAAAATGGTTAACGCATGCGCGAAATAATCTTTTTTATAAGACCTCTGAAATAAAATAAAGATGTGCATATTTTTAACATGTGTATATATTTTATTAGGGAGCGCTTCATTGCATTTTCTTATATATTTCATGTGCAAATATTTTTTTTATAGAAAGAAGAATAGTTTATTGGTTTTAACTTTACGCCCTCTAAAGCGTGATATCTAAGCATATCATTAGATATTCCTAAATACATGTATATATAGGTATTTGACGGTCAAATTGATATGATAATTTGATACGTGTTTATCAGTTGAAGTGAAACTGGTAACAATTTGTCGAAATGTTATCTTTTTTTTGCAGTTATCTATTTCTCTAACAATGTACCTTCAAAACATTAATTTAAGTTTATATTAAATTTTCGAAGCTTTCGCCTCTCATCTAAAGTGTTGAATAGGGGAAATCTAAGTCATTTTTTGATTTTCTGTTTTTTAGATACTTAAAAAAAAATATGTAAGAATTAAAACAAAACGCGCATGCAAGATTTATAGCAAAAATCATTTTATCATGTTTATAAAAATAATAATAATAATAATAATAATAATAATAATAATAATAATAATAATAATAATAATAATAATAATAATAATAATAATAATAATGATAATAATAATAATAATAATAATAATAATAATAATAATAATAATAATAATAATACTAACAATGATAATAATTATTATTATTTTAATAATAACATAATATTTTTGAGTAATTATGATTCATAAAAAAATCTATCATATAGTCATTTAAAAGGTCATGCATGGTATAAAAACAACGTCTTAAATATGGAATTCTAAACAGGAGCCAGAGCTTTCAAATTAAGCAGCGGAGGGTCGAACTCGCGTTATACCTGAGTGAGTACAGGGAGTGATATCTTGACGGGCTATTGGTTAAACACTTTCTATTTCGTCATTTGATATCAATAGTTAAAATATTTTGGGGGTGGATAGAAGAAAAAAGTTCACTTACCGTGGTTGACCGTTCGTGCTTTCTAAAGCTCTAAGATCCACTATAGTGCCTTGATCGTACACACAGGAACAGGCGTCGATTTTTGTACATTGTCCAATCGGAACCTGTCCCATATTTCCCTTAACAAAAACTCCCACGAAAATCAACAGAATCAATTCTGTTTTTGATATCATACTTATTGTGTTTTTCCCTGTTTTTTAATTAAATAACTTTTAATCTTAAATTTGTCGTCTAACAAAACAAGATGCTAAACCCGGATATTAAACTTTCCGAAAAATAAGCGAAAATCTCAAATTCGTATTAATTGAGTACACGTCACGTGAGTAGACGTCACGTGAACAAATCATATCACGAGTCAGTACATGTATATAAATAGTACTGATTGTAATGATAAAGTTCATGATATAACTTTATAAATAATATCATTATGTCAATTCAAAATTCATTTTGTGTTATGTATAGTTTTACATCTTAAAGCTGCATGCCTGCAGATGAGCCAACACACTTTATAAATTAAAGAAAATCAACCTTGCGAAAAATGTACTAAGATTTTAAGAAAAAGTAAAACTATTCAATATTAAAAAAAACAACAAAAAAACCCCACAATTATATGCAATTAAAGCCGCATGCCTTCAGATGAGTAAGACCCTGGATGAGCCAACATATTTTAAGAAAATCAAACTTGTATAATAAGATCATGTGCGCTTATTGACTGATTTAGCAATATTCATCACCCTATTTCTACTGCGTTGCTAACACAGTTAGGGTTATTATTGCATATTTTGACCACTTATTGGAAATTTGGCTTATTCGGACCTAGTTTTGCTAATTTTCCGTAGGTCTTTATGCCATTTTCAATGTGTAAATTACTTCCTTTGTACACTCGTCAATATTTTACTTTTACATACTTTTTATTTGTTTTATTGAAAATCAGCACGAATCTGGCGACATGCTGCTTTAATATGTAATGCGTATTGGGTGTTAAACCATTCAACTTCTATAACGTACTAAAACGTATTCGTAAAGGTGGCACCTCTTGGTTGCCGTAGATTACATTAATCATTTATTTCCCAATGTGGCCCAACATTAGATTTTTGACAGGTTATATGGCCCCATATAAACGGCAGTTTAAATATATGACGCACGACGCTAGTTTTTTTTTTTCGTGGAAGCAGGTATCTCAATGGCCATCTTGTTTTGTTGTATATATTTTTTAATATAATGTTTTACTTTTGAAATTGATATATAATTATTCAGAATTATAATCATCACAAATATTATAAATTATTTTAACCCATATATCCAAAATTAAAGTTTTACCAAAATGTTTGATATATAGGAACGCTAAATACAAATGTATTGAAATGACAGATTAAAATGAAGATATTAGAACATTAAACGGCAAAATAGCAGATTTAATTGATTTTTAATGAAAAGAACACAAATTAACGGAAATGCATATTAACAAATATTAGGTATGAGAGCTCTAAATTGCGGATAAAACATGAAGCAGAAAGAACACTAAATAGCGAAATTGCACAATGGGTAGAGAAGCCAACTGTCCGTTAACTAGCTGAATATGTTCCACATATAATGAAGTAGTTCAAAGTTCGAACACAGAGCGGCAACTGGCAAGAAATTCGAAGTTGTTGACCTTTCAAAGCTCAAACTTGGAAATTAATTTCGAAGAACGCAATCAAAAGTAATTAAAATAGCATCAGTGACATAAAACTCTATAATAAATAAAAAAATAAATAAAAGACGAGAAAAAAAAGAACGCACAAAATAAAACTGCACACAAAACAACGACAATGTCAAACAAAATCTATATTCTATCTAAACACAAATAACAATAACAATATATGAATTTATGTCCATGATAATTTAGTTGGTTATATTGTATCATATTTGGACCCGCTTCCTGGCGTGCTGCTTATAGCTTCCCCTTTACTTCCCTGAAACGAAACAAGATGATTGAACAAACTACAAATACAGTCGTACAGACGGACATTCATCCCACAACGACAAATGAGTGCGGGCGGACGGACGGACAAACGAAAGAATGATTAAACAAATAGTCGAAGAAAAGAAGGAATGGGAAATCCATCCATCCATCCATCCATCCATCCATCCATCCATCCATCCATCCATCCATCCATCCATCAATCCATCAATCAATCAATCAATCAATCAATCAATCAATCAATCAATCAATCAATCGGTTTACCGACCGAATGAACGAATAAATGATTAAATAAATGAAAAACAAAAATGAAAAAGACACTTTTTTTTAGCAAACAAATAATTTTATAGTGAAAGGGAGATAATACAAGCTAGCATATTAATTATTTTTTCCACCCTGCAAGAGTAATCGTTACTTAACATACTGATTTAACAGAGAAAATAAAACACAAACCGTGCAGAGTTCCGGAATTTTGCACCAGAATTCGTGGTTGGGACACAGTCTTTTACCGCTCTCTTTCTTTACGAAGGCTTGAAACATCACACCAAATACAATGTAAGCTCCGATCAAACTGAACACACTGTAGAAGACAATTAGATTTAAGTACAAGTCATACAGGGCATAACCCTTTTAAAGACAAAGATGTTTGGTAAAATTTCTTTGAGGGGTTGGTCTAGAGATTGGTCTTTTTGTGAAGTTCTACTTCGAGAAGAACTGTTGTGTTGTAATGAAGTAATAGTGTAATGCACTAAGTTACATTTCAGAGGTTGCATTATGTATACAGTAAAAACTCTGAAAACCGGACCCTCTGAAAACCGGAATCCTCTGAAAATCAGACAGCATCAGTTTTACTTATTTAACGCGTAGAAGTTTTCGGGATTTTTCATAGACATATAAACGCACAATTAAAATTGTTCAATAGAATTTCTTCAAATTTGGCATGGTGTTACAATATGCGTTATCAGCCCCTGAATTGGATTTTTTGGTTTAAATCAAGGGCAGATAATTCACAAAGAAGGTATCAACACTTTTTTTAATTCTGTTTGAGTCAATTAGCAAAATTCAATAAAGAATAATGGGTGGATTGGCTTTTTCTCCTTCATTCTGTGATATTTTTTCTTCAAAAATGACCTATTCTTAAAGAATTTTAGTCCCTTTATTCAAACCTAAAAAAAACAACATCAGAAATAAGATATGGAATTGCCTGTAATCATGTCTTTTGATCAACAATAAAATGATGAAAAACATAATCAAAAAGTAAAAACAAGATTTTATAGACATACATAAAAGTTATCTGCCCTTGAAATGACCTCAAATAAGTAAAACATCCTGATTTAAGGGCAGAAGTGAGAACGGTGACCCCCAAATTTGTTTTGCTTAAATGTTTCTATTATCATATTCTAACGATATGCCACGTTAAAAAATTCTATTGAACAGTTTTAATTTTGCATATATGTCTATATGAAAACTCCCGAAACGTCTTTTAGAACCTTTCCATTTATGAAGTTTAGATTTTGAAAAAAATTGCATTATGACACGTCCTTTTAAATATACAAAATATATCGATGAGTAAATCCTTATAACATGTATAAGCCATATGGTCATAGAAAACACACAAAGGAACTAGCTTGCTTTGAATTTGGGAACTGCCTTTGAAGAGTTTTCAATATTAAAACGTTAAAAATAATTATGCAGCTTTTACAGTTTAGTCAGACAGCGCTGACGGACCGACCGGCCTGGATCCACACTGGTGTCATATGCCAGCCAACAGGGTACCATTTTACACTTAAACTGTTTATTCCTTATCCAGGGTAATTTGTGTTATGAATATGCCTTTCTTTAAATTTGGAACAGTCCATTTTAAGATGAAGTATTTTTTAGGTCAAGAAACGACAAAAAAAACAGTATAGAGCACGGATTGTACCCCGGCTTGGCTCAATTCTTATTAAAGGCTCATCACTTCTGGTAAAAGCATTTAACTATACTTACACGATAACGAATATCTCCCCACCGCTCAGAGCCTTAGGCGATACATTCTCGGACGGGTTCAGATTTGGTGCATACGCACATGCATATTTACTGGCCAACAACAATTTCTGAAACATATAGTTATGATAATGATAATAATAACGAAGGCGACGATGCCGATACTGCTTCTGATCCTGCTTATGATGATGATTCCGATGACAATGGAGTAATATGGATGATATGGAGTAATTTTCAATGTCACAAACACAAATTAGTGGCATCCCAAGGGGAGTAACACTTATAATTTGACCGTATACAATCCATATACATTTATAGGTAGAGTTTTACATTGGAAGACTTAGTGTTTATTGTATAGTTCATTGGAAAAGCGTAACGTATTATCTACGAATCTCATCCAACACAGGCCCACCTCAGACTATTTTTTTAAAGATGTACCGTATCACAATGTTCACAACTCGCACACAGTATCATAATTATGGACGTGTATCTATTGTAACACCAGCCGTACGAGCAGAACAATACCGTAAGTATGGAAATACACGATAATAACTTTACAAGGTCGGCCATTTTTGAATACCGTTTTTCACACTTCTTTATTTGGAAGTAAAATATATCTACTTCCAGGTTGTTCTCAATTCATGAAAGGAAATCCTTTTCCCGAAATGTGATTGTTAGTAATTTTACTATCTCGAGAGCTTCGTAAATGTGGTCAATAACTAGAAGCGTTTTAAAAATGTCTGTCATAGAACTCCCTTATTCATAGATACATAGTCATAAAACTTTTAAAAAAATTTTAAAACTGATTTTCATAAATTACAGAATACTTACGTATAATACAGTGTCATTGGTTTCTGGCTGCTCTCCTTCCGCCACAAAGAAGTCAAACTTAGATGTACCCATACACTGTAACGTTATTTCCGTTACCCTGGGAAACAATAAGGAATCAGTAAAAATAACATAGTCTATTTACTTATTCGTGTGCAGCTTAATGATATCCTTTTCACTAATTATTTGTGTAAATTCGAGAAAACATTGTAACTTTTCGTGCACTTATCAGCCACGACGTCACAAGATGCTTTCTTGCTCTTGTTCACACAGACGCTTTTTGGATTTTAATAAGAAACGGAAAGTACCGCAATGTCGACGCCTATCGAACTTTATATGGTTTTATACCTAAATAATGTTATATCTTTTTTCCCTTAAATTATATGACGTCATATTAGATGTGTATAGCGATCACGATAATGATAATGAATCTGTCATGGTAAAATCATACCGCCCATTTTGTAAAGATTTTCTAAGATGAAAAATATTTAATAATAAAAATGTTTATGTTTGATAAGAAATACAATTGATACATATCAAAAGCGGTCTTCATCTTTTCTAAAGGTTAAATATAATATTTTTATTTTATTTTTTGTATTAATTATTATTTGTATTATAATCATTTTAGAAAAATCGTTTCATATGATTGTTGCTGACTGAATCTAACAATGCCACCAGTGCAGACCAAAATTGTGAGGTCTTTACTGTCTAAGCATGGTCTGCACTATTCGCCATCCAGCCAGTTCTTATTTTGCCAGTTTCCTTTCAAAAGGTTTTGCAAAAAAAAAAATACAACAACAACTACAAAACAAAATTTTAAAAAAGTATAAATAAATTTAAAAAAAGCACGGTCATTTTAGATCTTTTCCGCAGTAATTTTTTCATACCTTTTGTAATCCCCTTGGTCAGCGGTGTAGCTCAGTTTCAACGTGCCGTTGCTGTCAACCATGAAGCTGGCCGTATCCTGGTTACCAAGGTCATAAATGAGTGCATTTGGAATTCCCTGGCGTATCATACACACCTATTGTATAAAACGTTCAACAATTTACTGTAAAATCATTAATATTCGTGGGGAACTCATTTTGGTGGTTTTCGTGGATCAAGAATTTAAGATCAAACGAAACTTTATTGCGTCTGCTGTAAGATTATTTTGCATCGCACTATTTACATTTAACCTTTTGGAAAAATGAACAGTCCACAAATTTAAGAACCAACGAAAATGTTCTTGGTGTCAAAAGCACGAAACTGTATGCCCACGAATTCATAGTATTAGTTTTTATGTATACTAGTATGTTATTGAGACGTCATTCTCTCGATCATATTTGTAAAAAAAAACAACAAAACTCTTAAAATTAGATACGAATCAGTTGAATTTTGGAATGGCAAATGCATGCTTAGTGAACTGTAAATTATATACTGTGCAATGTTTCAATAAAAAATGTTTCTTAAAGTGTATGAAAGCTGCTAAAAATACTGTTTAAATTTTGAAAAAAAAAAAAGATATAAAAATCTTATTCTGTTTAAATACAATATTAATGTGTATTGAATAACAGAGACATTATGTGATACAATTTTGTGATACAGCCGAGTTGTAAACGGGATGTAAGGGTTCCATAAATAATACTGTGAATTATTTAAGTTATTGTAAGGAAGGCAACTCATAATGCAGGTGACAAAGTATTGAGTACTTACAGCTACGCCGTCACACGCCGAGTTGTTAGACGGGTATGTAAACGGGGTGCAAGGGTTCCATGAATACAACTCATTCTGGGCAGCATTGGAAACGTTACTGAAGCTGCAAATAACAAAAGGCAGGCATGTTGAGAATGAGGTCATAATGAAAAAGAGGGAATTTTCCCCCTCCGTCTTCTCAGATTGAGGAACACAGTCCGCCTAAAAAAACATACAGGCTGTATGTTTGGGCAACTTAAATACCGACCATTTATAGCTAGTTTTTTTCGCATGGCGTTATCCATAAAAAATGAGTTAGCCATTACGTATTACCAACGTGTAATTAATTATTATTTTTACATTATTTTCGCCTTTCCATTTTCTTAAAGGCTCATAATGCCTCAGAAAGTCTACCAATTCTAGTTGGGAATCGATATAAGAGTGAATTAATACTTTGTATGAAGGTCAAAATACTGATTTGTTTACATTTTGTACTTTTATTTTTCTTTAAAGGCATATTACGCCCCAGAATCGAATAAAAAGGGCACATATGAATTTTTAATGTTTAGTTAATGATTTGAAATCTTGTGAGGTGCACATCACCCAAAGAAAGTAGTGCTGAATAAGAGATTATTTTTCATTAAAGTAGTAAAATGTAAACAAAGTAGTATTTTGACTTTCATACAAAATACTAAATCACTAAAACTGTATTAAATGCCGAAAATGCAACAGAAGAAAAAGATGGCTCAGGTAATTGGCAAATGAGTAGCGTTTCGGAAAATATTTCCGGATATCAAAAATAAAAATAAAGAAAAAAGCATTTATGAGGCATAATGGACCTTTAATAGTAGACAAAAAATGCGACCTAATAGTATCATATTCATTTAGTTCACTACGTTGATAACTTTTTAATTCTTTTTTAAAGTGTTCAATATTATAGTTGGACTCAAACAGAATAAATTGGACACATTTTAAATCGTCCCCTTTCACATTTGATGTCATTCATCGACTAATTTCCTATATAATACACTGCAGAAAACCTAAAATTAATGAACTTTATCAATATGATACAAAGAATTTCCGCCGCGGCAACATAAACAAGTAATGAAATTCATCAATAGGGCACAAAAACTGTCACTAGCAGCAACATAAACAACAAAAACAACATAACATACTGGCAAACTCCACCCACCAAAATAATCTTACTTTGGTCTGCCGTCCTGTCTATCAAGACTCTGCAGGTTAACTATCGTTCCATCGTCATACATGCACGAACATGCGTCCCTTTTCGTGCATTGACCAATAGGCAGCGGGACCTGAGCTAGAATCCCGAAGAAAAGTTCCGTAAACACTAAAACGACGGTTAACCTATACATGATGCCTTTTTTAATCACTTCCTATTCGTTTAGCAAAACACCAACAAAATATGATTCTATTTCAACCCGATCTAAATCATGCCGTATAGAATGAAAGTAAGAAAATATTTTTTTGTTATCCTAGAAAAAATCTAGGAAAGTTAGTCATTTAAAATTTGATTACAATGTAAAATTAGACTAAGGAGGGTCGGCTTATCTAAACACATGACGCGAGTAAATAAAATATCTTCAAAATTATCAAATATTTCATAGATACGGACGAAGGGATACTAAATGTTGAATTTGCATGTACATGTATATACGACAGATACAGACGGACGGATGGTATGTACATGGTGTCCCTGATAAGATAAAAGATTTTGTCACATTTTCGAAATGATTGAAATAAAATAATATTTAACAAAAACTTTTCTGAGTCAAATAAGTTGAATACACTTTTTATTTAGGCCAGTAAAGTTATGAGTACATGTAGCTTGACGTCAAACAAATCGCAACAAAAATGTTTCAACGTATTGCATATTACATAGTTTCATATACCGACATCTACGAAAGGTTACTCGTACATTTAAAGTGAAAAATATCTCTACGTAATGATCTCCCTTTGCTAAACTGTAGCAGAGGCAATCGCTGTCCGTCCTAATGAAAAATAAATATATGACAAATTAATAACAAAAACATAATAGAAATTGACTCCATTTAGCTCCTTTACAACAAACTACATTCTTCGCAATAAACTCCATTCTGCGCAACGTCTCGGAAAGCAGCAAATCAAACTCATTTTGCAACAACATTCTATCTTCTCTGCAACACTCCTTATATGTCATCAAATGTATATCAAAAGTCATCAACTTCCTATAAGCCCAGCTTTAAAAAAAAACAAAAAAAAAAACAACAACAACAACTTAAAAGCCTTTCAGCCCACTTAAATGCTGCTGAAATCTCCAAACTTATCTTTATTTAGCAATAACCTACTATTTTCTGTATAAATCACCGCACGCCGTTTTAAACTCGTCTCTTAAAGGCCCATTATGCATCAGAAATGCTATCATTTTTAATTGTTTAAAAACTTAAAACACTTTCTTGACATTTCTAATGAATTGAATAGAATATGAATTTCTGAGGCATAATGTGCCTTTAAATTTTAACAACTGTAAGTCTCAACAACCTAATGTGCCTTTAAATTTTAACAACTGTAAGTCTCAACAACCATTCGCCCACAAAGAACTGTAAAAAGTCTCATAAAGGTAATAATTTGAGTTATCTATAAACAAGAAGGGTGAGAAATATTGCTTAGATGCTCGAACATAACTGAAATAATACAAAGAGGCAGAATCCAGTCAATCTTCTGTAAGGATAGATAACTAGGTATTCACGCAGACAACAAATCTTCACACAGTGATCTCCTCTTAATTCTTCAACTGTAATGACCAAGGCAAGTAACCGCTGCGAGGAGTTTGGCAGACAACTAGAGTTGCAAAACACAAAGTCAACTCATGAGTTACTGCCCTTCCATATCCTGTTAAACATTACTCACAGCATTTTATGAGTAAATATGGCATGTAATAACGTGAAATAATGACAAAATTATAAGCGTGAAAAAGCTCATGTTTATATGTTATTTAATTCAGCTCAACAAATTTAACGCTGTGCAAATTCTTTTATTTCGGAGTATGTATAATTTCAATAATTACATACAATGTGTACATCTTGGATACTCTGTATCATTTTAAGACACAAGAATCTGCAAATTTATTCACCTCATAGTTTTATATTACAAGTTTGGGTATAAACACCGCTAAACGGTGATCTATTTTTGTTACCTGCGCTTCTCCTGTCACCTTAATGTATCAGTTGCCATATTTGATTTAAATACACGATTTATTCATCTGCACTATCGCGGATTAAGATATAAATCTGGGTCAATGTGAGTTTACAATTGCAATTGTAAATATGGTATAGAAATGTACTGACTCGCAACTAACCTTTTACTACAAAACTACGGAAATACGGTATAACAAATTTGAGACATACTATGGCTGACAAAAGGAGCGAGACTAACGATGAAAAACCTAGAATTCAACTAGGCAGGAAACAATATAAAGGGATTTGGATGTTTGACAATGAAATTGAACAAATTGAAGTGATGGATACACGGGAAGATGATATTTGGATTTGTACTTTTCCAAGATCAGGTGATTATAATCAATTTCGTTAGTGCTGTTGTTTTGTTGATGTTTCTTTTATGCATCAAAGTTTTTCACATACCCTAACATAAATAAATAAATAAATAAATAAATAAATTAATAAATAAGAATAAATAAATAAATATTTTCTGAAATAAAAGCAATGGGCATACCAGGCTGAATACCTGTCCGGCAGGTCCCGGGAAAAAGATGGCAAATAGTCCGTACATTAACCGGAAGTCACGATGCAAACAAATAGCCTATGACCGAAAAAAAGGCCCGCTAACTGTCCTGCAAAACCGACTATAACGATTTTAAAGTAATCAGTAATTTTAGTAAAATATCGAATGAGGCTGTGCATTTTAAAGAACCGTTCTCGGAAAGTAAATTACTTTTCCATATATGTGCTTTAGTTGATGGAGATCCTTATCAAGTCCTTAAGAAAGATGTCAATTTTTTACGTTTTTGGAAGAAATTAAAACTTGAGCGATTCCGAAGAGCTGCACGAGCTAGCTACCACGTGACATATGTAACACATGTAAACGCTGTCATTTTCGGTTTTCAGGTACAACTCTTACGCAAGAAATCGCCTTTCTTGTACAGACCCTGGACTTTGATAGGGCAAATACTGTTCAACTAGATGATAGATTCCCTATTATAGAAGTAAAAGATGACAGATTTCCATATTATCGAGGTAGATCACAAAATATAGTTTGAATTTTGGAAAATAACTGTTTGAAAAAAAAAATGTTTGCGTATATCCTTAAAGCAGCATGCCTCCAGATTAATGCTAATTTTCATGAAAAATTTTAAAATGTATTTAAAAGTAAAAAAAGATGTGAAATTTACAAAGATATTGATTTGCACATTGCAACCGGCGTTTACAATCCACGTGAATTACCAAAAAGGGGTCAAAATATACAGTTATAGCCCTTACTGCGTTAGTAATGCAGTAGAAATATGATGTTAAATACTACAAAACCAGTCCGTAATCGCATATAACATGAAAATTATTAAATGATTTTTTTACTTTTCCTAACATCTTAGTACATTTTCTCAAGTTTTGTTTTCTTGAACTATTTGGGATTATCTTGGGGAATGCAGCTTTAAAAGCGAATTCCGCATGTACGCAATTATTGCTTAACGGTTGAAACCCTTCCTAAAATAGCAGCAAAATATTAGTTCAATAATATTTTATTCTGTTTACTTCCTATATTCATATGCATTAAATAACAGAGACATTCTTCTATGACACAACTCGACCATAAAGTTATGGGAACTGCATAATCTTTTTCATTTATGAATTATTTTTTCATCTTATAAATATATAGCTTTATATTATATTACAGGAATAAAGTTTGTAGAAGAAATGCGCTCCCCAAGAATGATTAAATGTCATTTACATCATTTTATGCTCCCGGAACAGCTACAAAAAGGGAAAGGGCGGGTAAGTTAACATACATGCCATTTACTAGTTGCTTTTATTTATGGTTGGGTTTTACGTCACATCAGCACAGTATAGGTCATAGGTTGGCTTTCCAACATTTACTGGTGAAGGAAGATCCACAGGTTTGTTTGTTTCATTCTACGCCTTTTTCCAACAGTATTCCAGTTCCTAACCATCGTTCCTGGAGATTTACACCAGTAATAGACTACCTTCCTCCGTTCTAAACTATCAAAGCATCTCCCGGGGATCAAACCCACGTCAGAGAGGTAACTGGATTAAAAGTCATCGACTCTAACCCCTCGACCACGGAGGCGGTCTAAGACCTCGGGTGCTCCTCCGTGCATTAACTCTGGCACGAACGGGCACCTGAGTATAACCACCGACCTTGATTAAAAGACCGAACTTTCGTATGCTAGCTTGATAGCTTCCTCACATTAACGTCTTTGGAGAGTTTTAAACGGAAAGCTGTTTAAAGACAAAGACCTGATTCACTCAGGCAGCACACAACATTGTCCAGTTGCATGTTAATACATGTAATAAAAAAGAATTGAGCAATTTAAAATGTTATAACATAATTGAAATAATTTAAAGTAAAGATATATTTTAGTGCTTTTTGAAATGTTATTTTGTGAAATATAGACTGTTTCAAATTATATACCGGTAAAAATCCCGAAATTGAATTAAAGACTTCTATAGACGTACTCCCGTGTTCTTGGTCCCAATGACCCCCCCCCCAAAAAAAAAAAAAGAACAGCCCCCCCAAATAAAACAAACAAACAAAAAACAAACAACAACAATAATAATTATGATTAATTTAATAATAATAATAATAAAATAATAATAATAATAATAATAATAATAATAATAATAATAATAATAATAATAATAAAAACACCAACATGAAAATGTCCTTTTTGTCAAAACCACAAAATTTTATCTATTTAATAATGCTATTTTAAGAAACATATCAATCTGAAAAGATTCTACCAAATGTCTCACTTATATGCATGTTTTAACTAACAAGAATATCTTATTCAAGTATGACCTTTATTCCTTTTTGAAATTCTCAGATTATCTATGTTGCACGGAACCCAAAAGATATTGTGACGTCATTTTTTCGGCTTATGCAATGGGGTGATGGGTTGAACGAGACTGATGGGACATGGGATTTATTCGTTGATGCTTTTGTCAGTGGAACAGGTAATTTTGCTTACAACAATTTAAACACATAAATGGACCTTATGATTAATACGGTTTTATTACGATCGAAAAGGGGGTTCGAATCCCGACAGGGACTTTGGATTTTTTTTTATGCGAGGAAGCTATTCAGTTAGCTTACGGAACGTCAGTGGATCAGTGGTTCCAATTAGGAATAATGCACGAAAGGGCACTCGAGGTCTTTATCCACTTATAAAGCTGGTTGTCGTCATATGTCCCGAACCAGTAGATTTTTATGGTTAAATTTTAAAAATGTATTAAATTTGTCACGGATATAGAAGTACTGCCCTACGTACAATAAAATTTATCAAAAGTGAAGTACATGTACTATTACGGATTTAAAGATGGACTTTACAGTGTCCAGTCACATATTATCAATTTGACCGATGTGACAGGTCAAACGATCGATTCAGATATATGAGACAGAAAAAATACAAGGTCGACCACATCTTTATCATTATGATGTATATAAAGTAAAGAAAAGTTGAGTATATAAAACGTTTTAGTCCCTATAGGTACTGTATACATTGTATATATTTAATGAAGGATAATATGTATACACATCTTTATCATATCCATCTTAAGTCTCATTGTAAACGTTCTGTATTTCATTTGTTGTTTAATAATAGAAAGAGCATCGAAACACGAGGCTCTCTCCAGAGTATTAATCAGATTGCCGAGTATTTTTGTGTTCTTTCTCTTTTGTATCATCGGCAAAATAAAAACAACAACAAAAAACAGCACCATATGTAACCCAGAAAAAAGTGCGGGAAACTAATATCTGCACTCTTGTTAACGCACTGTTCATGTATACTATTTAACTCTGACACATTTTCAACAGAGAGGTCCTGAAACTATGATTCAATGACTTGATATTTTGTCCTATGTTATATCTTAAATGATCCAAAAACTAATGGTCAGTAGGTGGGTGGCGACCGTACAAAGTTTCCCCATTTGGGCTTCCTTTAGGGATTCTTTTGTTCTCTATTTTAGCATGGTAAGGGTAAAGATACCTTTATATGACAAAATTGTGGACTGGTTCAGACTGTGATTTGGAGCTTTGTCTCTGATGATTGCATCAAAACACTAGACTATACTGTTGAAAAAATCTTGGAAAAAAATGGAAGTCTCTCGTGAACAATACAATGAAAACGTAAGTTTAAAAGTAAAAACTGTGGGACTCTGTTTGACTGAGTTTGTTCATGAGAAATGATGGGAAGAAGCTACATCTCTCACGCCCCCCTCTAGCACCGGCTCAACAAGTATTAAATCTTCAACTCAATTTTGTATTGGAACCAATCTATTCAATTAAATTTGCATGTTTTGCTTGAAGCTTTTTCCGTCTTTGACATATGTGAATATAATATCAAAAACAAGATAAACAAGGAAGGGCGGCGTTCAATGAACGCAACCCCCACACGACCCAGTAACATAGGACCACCGAAAAGGAGCCCAGCAGGACCCCACAATAAAAATAGGACAGAATGTCTTGTTTTCATTTGGTACATGTATCATCTTTTCTTATTATTTTTCTTTTGACAGGACATAATGGTTCATGGTCACGGCATGTTTTAGAATTTTGGCAGAGACGCAATGACCCAAATGTTCTCTTTCTGAAATATGAAGACATAGTCAAGGTATTGTGTTAATATGACTCTTTTTGTTCTTTAAGCACCAGGCCTCTAGATTCATACTTATTTTCATGAAAATTTTGAAACTGTTTTTAAAAGTAACACAGTGAAGTTACTAAAGAAGCAATTTACACATTACAAACGGCACGTACAATACAATAAACAATAAATGCTGTAAAATCAGTCATTAATCACATACAATATGCCAATTATTTCTTGAATCCTGAATCCATTTGCTTTTCCTAAAATTATAGTACAATTTTCTCAAGTTTTGTTTTTCTCGAACTATTTTGGCTCATCTGCAGGCATGCTGATTCAAATTCTTACGTCGTTTTATGACATTCCTTAAAAAATATGACGTCTTGTGTGTGTGTGTGTTGGGTTTATTTACCCTCGCCACCGGTATAAAACCATATGGGCGAGCATATGCTTCATTTATTACAGGGAAAACACTTTATTTAGTTAATATCTGCATATGTGACTAGTGAGTACAATATTTCCTGCCCCAAATATGCAAATAATTGCAGTAGATGGAGCTGGAAAAAGATGGGATTATATCCCACACTAAGATTAAAAAGCTGCATTTAAAATTTAAACTTAGATTAAAAATGGGGGAAGACGCTTATACGCGTACGCCTTCTATATTGGGAACAAAAAAACCCTAATAACTATGTTTTATTGATTGCTTTATTTATTGCAAATCATATTTATAATATTAAAACTAGTATTGAAGGGGGGAGGGGGGGGGGAAGACGCTTATACGCGTACGCCTTCCTATAACAGGCCAACGCAGTAAATCACTGTAAATCTTTGTTTTTAGAACTTTATTTCACATATGAAAAGGTTTATTAATATAAACCTTAGCAATACGCCTGAGAACATAGCTTTTACCTTTCAATTCGGCCATCATATAATATAACTTCTTTTAGTTAGGGAGAACAATGCAGAAACAAAATTTGACAGATAGCGCCGAACCACGTTTAATAGGTGAATTTTGATTGACCGAAAAGTTATGCGATTTGTATAGCTGATTTGGAAGAAATGAAAAGATATAATTGGTCGTTAGTAAACAGATTTCATTGGCGCATTGAAATCTGTTTACTAACGACGTCTTTATTTTTGAAAATCCTTATTAAATATTTAAAGATTCAATACAGATCTCACGAACCAATGAAAATACGCCCCGGCATTGACTAATGGAAACTGATGACACATAAAGGAGAGGACCAATCAAAACGCTCTTTGACAACCAATAGGATGCAAGTACCGTCCTCGCCCCTAGCTCCGGCTTAAGCAGAAGCAATATTTGACCATGTAAACTCACTAAGAACTTAAAACCTTCTCCTTTTCATTCACTTTTATGTAAGGTATAAATAAATTTTAGAATTAACCACTGATGAATCGACAAGACAGACTGCCATAAAACATAATAACAAATCAATCCCTTTTCCAGGATATGCCAAAAGCTGTAAGAAGAATCGCTGACTTTTTAAAACGACAAATCACTGATGATGATGTTGCTAGAATATGTGAACATTGTCATGTGGACAACATGCGAAAAAATGACAAAGTAAACATGTCATACTGGAGAGATGTTAAGAAGGTCTATGACAACCTCGATGGTGGATTTATTAACAAAGGTAATATAGTTGTTGTAAATGATACAAGTTGGCTAGTCCAGATATCAAAAATCATAACTGTAATATGACGTTGATGAAACTGAGTGGAGATTCAGTGAGAGGGGTTGGGGTGGGGGGAGAGCTTTAAAAGGGGCATATTTATAAATTTATAGATAAACTGTGGTCCCTCGGAAACATTAATCACAACAAAATTACATGAAAATTACAGACTCGGTTTGATTGTGAGGGATAATAAAAAAGTGCAACATCCCTCTCGCCCCAGCAGAGGCATGTGGTTAACTAATTATGATAAGGTATTTCTCATTATTTCTACAAGTGAAGAGAAATTTCAGGCACGAATTTGCATACCCTCACTTTCGCAAGCTGGCATATCTCTTGGTCGACAAATAAAATACCTCTTGCGAGATTGAAGCCGACAGCTACCGGGACAAGTGTTTCCACCGCATACTTTTTACCACAGTTACCCCACACATTTCTCTTGTTTTAGAATAGGTATTTTGTGTCAAAAGGCTACTGCACGCTCTTCGGGTATAGAATATTGCTGTCAGATCAGGAATGAAAACTTTCGTTTCGTGCAAAAGTTAAATGCTGTAGATGCGCAAAGTATAAGATTTCGATGTTTGTGCAAAAAAAAAACCACACAGGACATTTTCGTAGGTTGAAAAATCGTGGATCGTCTGTTTTTGCAAAAGATGAAATAAACTTTCGTTAGATTTTAAATTTGTAGAAAGACTTATCAACGAAAACCACGAAAGTTAGTGCCCCACGAAAACTAATGTTTTTTTCGATAATGCGCTGTTCTTAAAGAATCTCCACTGAGATTTATTTCATACGAAGGGACTTTTGTACCATTTGCTGTAGGTGTGGACAAATAACTTATGTGCAAAATTCCACATCATTCCCTCGTTCCGTTTTCCCAGAATAATAATGCTTATTATAATTGAAAAGCGTTGCAACGCTTTTCACTCTAAGCTAGGTTAAAAAACGATTTTTTTTTCAGTTTAGCTCTGATTAGTTTTCTATATTATCTATCGCAGATTTTTCCGTTTTAAGTGTATCTCTTTATTTATACAAGAATTTCTAATTTTAAGTTTCTAAGCTTTTTGACCTCAGTGAAGGTCCTTTAATGTTCATATAGTGTTTTCTTATTTTTTTTCAGGAAAAGCTGGGGCATGGAAAGATTTACTCACTCCTGATAAAGTAGAAAAGATCAACGGGTTGTTAAAAGAAATTGAGGGATCCGGTCTTACCTTTGATGAAGAATAGACGGTGATATTCAAACACAACAACCTTTACACATACAAATCAGGACTACTTCCTAAGTGTCATTGCTTAGAACAGCTTCTTTTTCACAATACTAAGTCTGGTTCCCTGCCTACATTTACTACGGAAAGTACTGGAGTTTCTTCCCCTCATACTACGTAGGCAGGGAACCAGACTTATGTAGTATAAGCGGAAGGAACTCCAGACTACACAATACCCAGCTATACACGTTTGACCGCAACTATGAGGGTTGATCAAAAAGTTGACTTTAGTTTGTTCTTTTAATTTTTACTAATAAACAAACAAAATGTCCAGTTATGTCAAATAATTATATTAAAAGTTTAACTATTATACCACAACACTGCCACGATTTGATAAACCCTTTATGTAAGCTTATTTTCGCAAGCCAAATTTTCATGTATTTATGCTGGTTGCTTTTAATAAACATGTTTATAATTAAAACAACAGCAGGAGAAGCAACAACATCGACAAAAGCGCGCAAAAGCATACGAAACTTTCACGACATAACGATGTTTCATATTGTAGCAGCAGGTTTTAATAAGTTAATGAAGTCATTAAGTATTAGAAAGAGCATCGAAACACGAGGCTATCTGATTTGTACGAAGGGGCGTAGCTCCCGAGTATTAATCAGATTGCCGAGTGTTTTGATGTTCTTTCTTTTTTGTATAATAGACAAACATAAAAACACGTTCCCTGTTGTCACAATAAGCCCGGGAAAAGGTAACCAATGAACTAGCATCTGAATATGATATTTCTGTCGCTTTCCCTTTCTCTTCTGTCACAATATGTAAACCCCAGCAAAAATGAGCCAATCAATGGGTATGCTCTGGAGTACGGGTAACTAATACCTGCGCTCCAGTTAACGCACTGTGCATATGTAAACGATTTAACTCTGACACATTTTCAACAGAAAGGTCCCCAAACTACGATACAAATATTTGTAAACTCAACGCATATTCTGTTTTTATTTTCAACTGTAGCACAAGGCTTTAAGCTTTGTTACACCGCACTTTGTGGTCAAACGCACTTTCGACCCCAAAGTGCGTTAAATAGGTACATATGCATTTTTTAACATCAGGCAAACGACCGCACTTTGGGGTCATAGAAAATTAATGTTCATTATGTTTTAAATAATATATTGTAGTCAAAGCCTATGGTAAACAAAAAACTAACGTATTAAATAGACGCAAAACATGTGCCCAGGATTATAATATAATCAATAGGGATTTAAATGGTCTTGATTAGTAAGTGAAGAACTTTCACCAAATAAATCACCAAATAAAGAATTTATATCAATTATTAAGCTTAAAATATTTTTTTATCAAATTTTCCATTTTAGAATAATGTTCACATTTCGTTAATTCATTGTTTTAGTTAAATGCACTATTTCCCGTTTTTTATTTACACATTTTATAGAAATATGATAGTCTTAGCATAGACAAAGGTATAAATTCCGGGTAATCTTAGTAAGGCATTTAAGTAAAAAATGTGCCTGATAATATGATGACAGCGCTATTTATTTAGCCAAATGTGACATATAAGAAACTTAACTAGGTGTAGATGCAGCTTTAAGTAGTAGTCCGTACAGGCAGTAATAAAAATATCAACTATTCAAGTAGTCGCACATCGCGCTTCGGAATAATGTAAAATTCTCACTGGGAGAATAGAGGGGATTGTGGGGTATCGATCCCCCGAGGGTTAAAAATACCGTTTTAAAGGCCTATTATGCTTTTATTTGTTTTTCTTAAAAGCTTTTTTTATTTTGATTAACCATCTTTTTCATCTGTTGATTTTAGGCAATGATGAGTACAATGAATTCTACTCTTTTCTTCACGGTGTTTTCCCGAAAGGAAGATAATCTAAATTCCGTACTTCAAGTACGGTTCTAACAAAGCCTGAGAAAAAGAATTACACTCAAAGAATGGGGGTTCCTGGGGATCAACTAAAGTACCAAGGCAAAGTGCCTTTACTACATCTGAAAATATAACTGTCACAGGACAAGAAGATGTAGGTAATCGTGAAAGTGCGTCTGCATCGACGTTTGACTTACCACTGCGATAACTGATAGTAAAATCAAAACAAGAACCGGTTGAACCGGGTGATGCTCCCCGAGAAGGTTCTGGACACAGGAAAGTATAAAAAAATGAACAAAGGGCAAAAACTCCAAAATTAGGCAAAGCGGATTTATGTTTTTTTGCACTGCACTTCTATTCAATGAGATCTATCTATCTATAAAGTTTCCTGATGATATCAGAGTTATGTCCCGGGTAAAAGTCAAAGTGTAAAAATGAACAAAGGGCAATAACTCCAAAATTAGACCAGGCTTTGTTTAGGTTCTTTAAGCATTGCAGTTCTATCCAATTATATCTAGCTACCTACAAAGTTTCATGTTGATATCTCTAATAGTTTTAAAGTAATGTCCAGGACAAAAGTCAAAAAGTAAAAATAAACAAAGGGCAATTACTTCAAAATAAGGCAAGGCAGAGAAATGATTCTTAAGCACTGCACTTCCACCCAATGAGACCTATCTATCTACAAAGATTCATGTTGATATCTCTTATAATTTTAGAGTCATGTCCCAGACAAAGTTCAAAGTGTAAAAATGAACAAAGGGCAATAACTCCAAAAGTAGGCAGTACAGTGTTACAGTTCTTGTGCACTGCAAACTTACTCAATGAGATCTATCTACCTACAAAGTTTCATGTTGATATCTCTTATACATTAAGAGTTATGTCCCGGACAAAGTTCAAAGTGTAAAAATAAACAAAGGGGGATAATTCAAAAATTAGGCAAGGCAGAGTTAAGGTTCTTGTTCACTGCACACCTACTCAATCAGATCTATCTACCTACAAAGTTTCATGTTGATACCTCTTATACTTTTAGAGTTATGTCCCGGACAAAGTTCAAAGTGTAAAATAAACAAAGGGGGATAATTCAAAAATTAGACAAGGCAGAGTTACGGTTCTTGTGCACTGCACACCTACTCAATGAGATCTATCTACCTACAAAGTTTCATGTTGATACCTCTTATACTTTTAGAGTTATGTCCCGGACAAAGTTCAAAGTGTAAAATAAACAAAGGGAGATAATTCAAAAATTAGGCAAGGCAGAGTTACGGTTCTTGTTCACTGCACACCTACTCAATGAGATCTATCTACCTACAAAGTTTCATGTTGATACCTCTTGTTGTTTCAAAGTTATGTCCCGGACAAATTTCAAAAAGTAAAATAAACAAAGGGGGATAATTCAAAAATTAGGCAAGGCAGAGTTACATTTATTGTGCAATTCACACCTACTCAATGAGATCTATCTACCTACAAAGTTTCATGTTGATACCTCTTATACTTTTAGAGTTATGTCCCGGACAAAGTTCAAAGTGTAAAATAAACAAATGGGGATAATTCAAAAATTAGGCAATGCAGAGTTACGGTTCTTGTTCACTGCACACCTACTCAATGAGATCTATCTACCTACAAAGTTTCATGTTGATACCTCTTATTGTTTCAAAGTTATGTCCCGGACAAGAAAAGGGGACGGACGGACGGACGGACGGACGGAAAGACGGACGGACAAGGCGGCGACTATATGCTCCCCCGAAATTTTTTCGGGGAGCATAATTAGCTAAAGAAGCTTACCTAGGGTGAGACGTTGCATCAAGTTTTGCAATGGAAAGAACGTAAGTCAAAGGATTATTATCAGTACGGACTTGGAAAGAGTTACCATACAAATAATCTTTGAACTTATCACTCACAGCCAACTTTAGAGCAAGAAACTCTAATTGATGAGCGGGATAATTCCGTTCATTCGGTTTCAACCCACGACTTGCAAAAGCAACAGCTCATCGTGCACCTGGTATAAAACGGCACCAAGACCAACTTCACGGCATCGATATTCAAAAGAAATTGTTTTTCTGAAATCAGCATATTCCAAAATGGGTGGGGTACTAAGACACTTAAGTAGTAAGTCATAGGCAGATTGTTGATCAGGACCCCATATCCAAGGTGTAGCTTTATTCTTGGATTTGCTGGCTTTGTTGGTAGGATGACCAATCAGTAAATCGTTCAGTGGTTTGGTTATCTGGGAAAACCCTTTGATGTACCGCCTGTAGTAACCAGCAAAACCAATAAAGCTCCTTTACTCCTTGATACACTTTGGGACAGGCCAATTCTTTCAAACAGCAATCTTGTCGGGATCGGTTTCGACACCATGTTCACTGGCAATATGGTCTAAATACTTCACACTGGTTCGAAAGAAATCACATTTAGAACCTTTGAGCTTGAGACCAGCTTTTTCCAAATGCTTAAAAACAGAATTAAGACGCTGAAAATGCTCTTCTTTGGATTTAGAAAAGACAATAATGTCATCTAAATAGATGATACATTTAGTAAGGATAAGATCATCCATAGCACGCTCTATCAGACGTTGGAAAGTAGCAGGGGCATTGGTAAGCCCAAAACCTATACGGTTACACTAGTAAAAACCAAGTGGACCAATCGAATAGGCTGTCTTATACTTGTCGGCCTCCTTCATGGCAACTTGCCAGTAACCTGATCGAAGGTCAAGCTTAGAAAAGAATTTTGCACCAACTAAGCTCTCTATGGTCTCGTCTATCCTGGGCAAGGCATATGCATCCTTAATGGTTCTACTGTTGAGCCGACGGTAGTCAATACAGAATCTTAAAGACCCATCCTTCTTACGTACAAGGACTACATTCGAAGAAAAGGGAATATAAGATTCTCTAATGACACCAGCAGCTTACATATCTTTCAGATGTCCCCTGACTTCAACATACATACCCGGTGGAATACGCCGATAATGGTCTTTGAAAGGGATAGGATCTGAAAGTTCAATACCATATTCTACAATATTGGATCTGTTGGGCCAGATGAAAAGATATGTTTCCAACTAGAGAAAAATTAATTGGCCTTAACATGTTCATCTACTGTAAGAATATCAGTAGGAACAGAAATACCCAAATCCTCAAGTGTCTTCTTTGCATTGTACATCTTGGCAGTAGAACCTTCAAAAGGGTCTATTCTTCTAACGACATCTACATCTTGAAGATCTAATGACGACAGGATGGACAGACATATTACACATTCTCACAGGTATCCTACAAAAAGAAATTGTAGGTTTCACATGAACAAGGTTTGGACAAACAGATACAGATACATTATTATCAATATTCTCAATAACAGCTTCAGACATATTACAAACATTGCGAACATTGACAATAACAGTTATGGTCTCAAAAGATGGGATCTGAACACTGATATCACTAAGACTTCTGATAGGAAGGCAATTTACAGAAGATAAAACAGAAAAAACCATCACTCCATTCAGCTGGTACCTGACAGGTAGGGGCCAAAGTTTTAAGAAAATC